CCAAATTAAATACTACTCAGGTGAAGGAGACGAGAAACCAGCGGCATGCGAGCCTGCTCTCTCCTCAGGATTTCATCATCATCCTCGCCTGGACCACTCAATAGGTTATGTAGGGATTATATAGGNNATAGGGGTTATATAGGGCTATACAGGGGTAACATAGGGGGTTATAGGGCTTATATTGGGGTGATATGGGGATATAGGGATGATGGAAAAGAAAATGGAAACTACTATATTACAATGACTACTACTATTAGCCATTCATGCGTGCAACTGGACCCGAACAAGCAAGGCATCCTTACCAGCTCTCTCCCCAACATGCGTCTTGCTGGCAAGCTTCCCTCTTCTGGCAGCAGTTTGACCAGCCTAGGAGCAGCGGAATATCAGACTTAGCTTTGGATGGTGGTCTTTGCAAGCCTGACTTTATGCCAGACGAAGAGACTGCGGATCTTGGCTATGGTCAATGTTTTTTGGTACAGTGATAAGTCATGTCGCGCGTCATCTAGCCGCCTGACGCGGTGTGAAAACCACATGTGCAGAGGGCAGAAGCTGAACCCGTCACAGACCCCGAACACTGAACCCCACAATCTGAACTGGAATACATGCCAAGTGCATCCACCCTTGCAGAATTGTTTCAGCAGCTTGCGAAATTTCAGGGCATGAGCCCGAATCCTGGTCCCTTTTTTGGGTCTATATTCAGGATTCACCAAAAAAAACATGACTTGGAGAGTCTAGAAGAAGGGCCCCAGATCCCAAGCCCAGAAGCGGCCCCTAAATCAGCAAAGCGGAAAAATGGAGCACATGTGATAGTTTCCTAAAATAGGGAGACCCAATATAGACCCCTAATGCTATAATGCCTAATAGTGGGACCCCCAAAAAATGGTACCACCCAATTCTGGGAAACCCCTATATCCTCCACATCCCAAGACTTCATCTGCTTCGGGTTGCCCTGCACTAAAAGCCAGCATCACCCAAAGAAACTGAACAAACAAAGCAGCTAATAAGGGGTTTAGGGTTTAGGGATTAGGGTTCTCCAGATACCTTCAATGTGGTGGCATCCACAAATTAGGTTTCCTTCTTGAGAGTCCCCGCAGAAAGGATTACAGTACCATTTTCTGGAAATGCCTACGCGAGCTATAATTCAAACTCCAAGTAGACCCTTCAACAAGCCCTATAATACTCCCCTAGATCATCCCCTCTATAGCCCCCTTGAAGGAGTTTAGACTCAAGCTCATGTAGCACAGCTGCTCATCCATGTCGTCCGCGAGCTGGTGGAGAAGCTCTTGAGACTTCTCTAGCTGTGGACTGCCTTCAGGACAACGTATAGGGGGTCATATAAGGTTTCGGGTCTAAACTCCTTCAAACGTGGCTATATAGGGAATTATATGGGGTACTACTATAGGGGTGATGAGGGGGGATACTAAGAATTTAGGCTATAGCTCAAATCAGTGAGGGGTTTTCATCAGTGAGGGGATTTCGGGTCTAGAGTTTAAGGGTTGCAGAATTGAGGGCTTTGTGATTTTGGGGTGTTAAGGTGTGCGGGTGGGCAGATTAGGAATTGGGACCTTAGGAGTTAAGGGGCTTCAGGTTTGGGCGTAGGGGTTTGAGGCTTACGATTCAGGGCGTTAGGGATTGAGGATCTAGGTCTGGGGGTTCAGCTGTTCATTTCCACTATGGAAGGGGGATCTCGAAATGATGGTTCCCCTTTTTGCAGGGGCCTTGCAATTTGAATTGGTTGACTCAAGGATCCTGACTCGACCTAAGAAACTGTATAATAGTATGGGGGTATGTATACAGTCGGGAGATTGTTTAAAGACATGACAGCTGGGAATCTCCATATTCATAAGCCACTTCTGGACACTAAACTTGAGAAATACCCTCACGGAGGTTTGAGTTTATGGACTTGTCACCCTAAACCCTAAACCTNNACCCTATCTTAAGGGTTCGGGCTTGAGCTTTAAGAGTCGAAGCCGAGTGTTCAGCTTCAGAGCGTAAGGGAAAACATGAGAAGTGTCCGAACTCGGGATGCTGTTCCTGTGGCTCAACACACGCGGTTTAGGATTTAGGGT